ATAAAGAGGCAGAACTTCAAGATAAGTCAAAAGCCGAGCTCCAAAACAGCGGCGCTCGCTCGTGATATCCGCGTCAATCTGCCACAGTCGTCATGTTACGGCGCAACCCACGCACACGCCTTAAACGGGATTTCTGTGTGGATTTCGATGTCACTGTTCGGCTCAGTTAATGTCCACAGTTTTTAGAAGTCTCTACAATGTGTCTCGGGTTGAAATACACGGTCCTGATGTCAAAAACAAGAAGTGTTTACGTCGAATAAAATTCCGCCCGCCTGGCAAACTTTCATTCCCTCCTGATGTCAGTCAGCGGCACCTCCCGGTTGTGCGCAAAACCTCCGCCGATTTGTTGGAGAGAAAGAAAGGGGGAAGAACGGGAAATCAGAAACAGCACCTTGTTTTCAGGCCGGACCCTTTAAGGCAGTGATTCGTCACGATGCGTAACGTTACATTATATTATTATTATTAAGATATTTGTAAAACGAGTCGCCTCGGGAATAAACTTTGTCCTTTTGTTGTAATCTCGTTTGTTTTCATGGGTCAGATTGAACTTCTCTCTCCTGTGTTGGTATGATCCTATTCCTACTTCTGCTGTGGTCTGGCTGTGACGTCCCTCCTCTGCAAGAATACACAACACTGTTTTCCAGCCACTTTATTTTCCCCCCTCCCCTTCACTTTCTCACTCCCGTCTTCCTGTACTGTTTGACTGAGTTGCTACGGTGCTACAACAGGGACAAACTTCCCGAATAAGTTACAATGGAGACAGGTGGTACCGGGATAATACCTCCATAACTATAGCAGAACATTAAAATAATAATAACTAGCAGAACATAATCACACAAGCGGTTTTTTGTAAATGTTTTTAGGCTTTACATTGACTTCTATTGCTTTTATACGCTATATGTTGTTCTCATAAACTTACATAAGCCCTCTCTCACACTTTAACAATTTTCTAATTTAAGACATAATTTAGTACGTTTATTGAAGGGATAGTTCATCTGGAAAACAAAATAATAATATTAACATTCATCATTTCCCCTCATGTCGTTCTTGACCTTCTGTGGAACACAAAAGACAGATCAACGTTCTTTAATATTTTCTATTTTGTTCCGCATAAGAAAAGTAGGCTACAGGTTTGGAATGACATGAGAGTAAATGATAGAACTTTTATAGACTATTTGGTTGAGCTAGCAAAAAAATATATATATATATATTATCATTTACTATTTGCTAGCTTCTAAAAAAAAGTCTTAATTTACTTAATTCACTGTATTTACTTAAATTCTTCTGTTTCCGTTGGTTCTTTTGTTTTGTTGGCACTTTAAAGCGACCTTGAGTTTAAGAAAGGTGCTGTATAAATAAAGGAACTTTGTTGGCTGGTCCTGACAATGTTGATTATTTCAGGCTTCACACACTCTCTCTCTCTCTCTCTCTCTCTCTCTCTCTCTCTCTCTCTCTCTCTCTCTCTCTCTCTCTCTCTCTCTCTCTCTCTCTCTCTCTCTCTCTCTCTCTCTCTCTCTCTCTCTCTCTCTCTCTCTCTCACAACTAGGGGTTAAACAGATCATTGTCTTGCTAGTTTACATATGCAATAGATTTTAAAAAACCATTCCAGCGCTAGAAGAGGCAAGATAATTTATTTCGGTTTAGCGCACTGTTGCCTGTGTACGCACACACAGAGAGAGAGAGAGGCGCTTCATAGCGCACAAACTCCGAAATGATTCCTCCACTTGGATGGACACATACACACAAATTATGTAAGTCAATACCCGTCTCAGCAAGTATTCTCGTAAGCACACTCTGTTATGTCTTAAGTGAACAAGTTGAGAAAGAAATAGGATGTGTATCATTATACTGGATCAGTGCGTGCATGGGGTCTTAAAGTGACAGTGTAACCTATAAATACCTGCTGTTTGTCATGTTAATCAAACAACAAAACACAGCTTTAATAAAATAAAGATTTATCTATATTACATTTATACTGTGGACATAGTGTTATTTTACATTTAATTATTACATTTCTGTACCCGAAATGAATGCTACAGTTAGACCTTACTTTATTTGTGACTTTGTTGTAGGCTATTTATATGCTTTTAATTGGTTTACTGTCTGTTCACTTGCCTTTAATAATGTTTTAACTTTATTAGTTAGGCTAGTAGTTTTTACTGTGGTATCAGAGTACTTAAAGTAACAACAGGTAACTTTTCAGCCTTCATAATATATTTCCAAGTCTCTTGTGATGGTACATCGACTTACAATAGGTTGAATGACACGTCTGCCATAGCCTGACGGGGTCTGTAGCGTTTTTAATCGTACTTTTAAACTTCGGGTTTCGGGTAGTAACCGGCGAACAAAGAGAACTACAAAATTCGACTGCTTTACGGCATATACGTCACTTCCACCACCACCCCCACTACCTTAAAATCGGACTTGCGAGCCAAATGTTATAGTCATGGCCGAAGCAGCACAGAAAAACAAGAAAGCAAAGGTTTTATCGGAGCAAAGCAAAAAGAGAAAAAGAGAAAGTGATCGCGTTAAAGGCAGAACGAGGATCAACATTGCAGAGCTGCCAACTCTCACGCATTGGCCGTGAGACACCCGCTTTTGATTGGTTTCACAGGCTCACACGCCACACCCCCGGTTTCTCACGCTAAATTGTCAACCCGGTCGGTCAAATGCCTGAAAGATGAGTTTATCTATAGATCTCTACCTGTTGAGCCACTCGTGATCGACAAGTTATACCGCAAATTAGTTCAAATCTCCCGGAATCTAGAGCGAGCGCGCACGCGAGACAGAGACTGTGCTGCAACGCGCGCGGACGCCAGAGAGAGAAAGCGAGCGAGAGACCTTGCGTGTGCAGGGAGCATCGAACCCCCCATCGAAAAAAGAATGCCTCTCTCTAACCTCTCTAATTCGCTAGAGTAGTAGCGAATTATCAATCTGGTAGCTAGTAAACGATATTCTAGTTTTTGATGGTTAGCTATCGCGATAGTATTCTCGTTCTGATTTGAACTTTGCAATCGATGAAATGCCAATAGCAAATGTTTGACCTAAAAAGTGTAGTCTACTCAACATGTACAAAGAAAGGAGGAAGATTATTAATAAAATCATATTTTAGGATACCTAACATGTCTGTGATATTTGTTTATTTGTCTTGCCTCAAGCTATAATGCAAATCGATTTGTAAAATTTGCAGATTCATTTATGGTAGCTTGATATTATAATATTGACGATATATGGTTATTATCAACCACTCAAACATTGCATTGAAGTATCATATAGATCCAGTAAAACGGTAACCAATAGACTAGGCTACTATAATGACGCTGGCTTGTAAACGCGATCATTTGTCGTTATAAAAAAAATAAAACACATGAAATTATATTCATATGACATGCTGAAATATATGCCACTGTACCTGGGATGAAGACATTTCACACACGCGAGAACACCTGCATGTGACCTCCTCCTACAGTGTTCAGGGCTATCATGGTTGTCAACAAATGCACGTGCATGTAGGATGACAGTTTACGACAGTAGTAGAGGACAATACTGTTTCCCAACTGTAGGGGGAGCCCGAGAGCAAAAAAACTTCCTGTTGTTACTTTAAAGTAAGCTTGAAGTATAAATGAAAAGCAAAGTTACCCGCACAATTTTTTGTTCTTGCTGATCCGATTCGTGACCTAAAAACCGTAATATGCTCCGAACCGCGAGTTTTGTGATCTGATGAACAACAAACAACACAAAGCATCTCTGAAGTGAATGGTATATTTATTCAGATGGAGAACAGAGATGAAGGAAAAATTATTGATTGCTCAATTGCTTACAGACAACTATGATATTGCATTTATAGTCAATCCAAAAATACATGTCATACATGTAGCCAAAAACATCATAAAACAGTTTTGAAAGTGATTCTTGAAAATGACATGTGATCTAGGACCTTCATAGAAAGCATGCCGGTGTAAAGACTGCAAGTCTGTCCTTCACAACCTTGTTTTCATCTGAAGAAAATTCAATTTGCTGTCTATCCTAGCTGTCTATAGTAGACATCCAGAAGTTGTGAAAACACATAGTGTTAGCCAAGATTAATTTAAGTATTAGTCTGTGAGCTCAGAATGCTTTCTAAATAAAAGCAATTGTATATACATAAAAAGTATAAAAATGTGCAAAAGCAGATACAGCAGGTATAGAGTGATTTTTTTTTTTTTTTTTTTTTTTTAAAGCATAATTGTCAGTTCATAAAGTTGCCTGCTTGATATGATTAGAATGTTAGAGTATATTAATGATTGTGTCTTCAGTGGTCAAACCCTAAAACATTCTCTTCCAGTGCAGGTAAAGTCACCTACAACATTCTACAGCATTACATGGGCAGATTACTAATCATTCACAAAGTGGGGCATTGACAAAATTAGCTTTGCTTTTCTGGTCTCCAGTGCGCTCTCCACTTGAGTCGACACCCCCTTCAAAAAACCCAAAGTGGAACCTTCTGGGCCGCTGACATAATTACATAACAATAATTTTTTCTGGTTGTCATGGAGATGGGGGGTGGTTGGTGATAAATGTTGAGCTGAGAGACTCCCCCTGAATATCTCACCATGTTTGATGCCCCACCTGATCCCTGCTCCGTAACACTCCCCCCTACCTGTTTCAAAAAACATTACATAATTTTCCCTTGCCAAGTACGCCAGCCAGGGCTCGAGACTAACGGCGTCCTATCGTCCTGGGGACCATGTAAAAAAAAAAAAAATTGTTCTGCATGAATACAAAAAAGCATTTAACTCCTTTTATTTTTTATTTAATCTGTTTTTTACCTATTTACAGATAACTACTTTGAATGGAGCTAACTAAATATAATATATATCTATATACTATAGATGATAATAAAGTACAGAAACAATATTTTCATTTTGGGACGGTTGACATTCACTTTAGGACGGTTCAAATTGTTTATCAGGACGGTTTCAGGACGGAGGTGAAAAAAGTTAGTCTGGAGCCCTGACGCCAGCACCCACAGTTATCCCTGTTTTTACGGTTTGTCTATTTATTCCTGATTCTTCTCGTCTTCCTCTCTCTTTCTTTCGTTTTCTCTATCGCTCTCTCAGCAGCCAAGACCAAGTCAGCTCTTTATAACCGTCACCATAACAACCACAAATGTTCTGACAGATTTGCTGCCACTGCATTGAGAGGTGTAGTGCACGCAATAAAGAAATAAAGAGAGAGGGAAAAGAAGGTAAAGCAATGCTATCCACCCACACACATTCACAACAATAAATGTACGTTCTGTTCCTCAGTCATCAAAAATACTCTCTCTCTCTTTTGCCTTGTTTTCTCTTCTTTCCTTTCCTTGTTCCTCATTTTATCCTCGATAATATGCAGCACTTTACATCCTCGGCCATCTTAAATACTCAGATCATGACATCTGTGGCCGTAATGGGCATTTGGGGAGAAGATCGATGTCATTTCATTGTATTTTCATAAAATTAGCAACTGCACCGTGTGATTCTCCTAACATAAACGCATTTATCTTCTTATATAAGATCAGCATGTGTTTCTACACTGTATTTGGGTTAGTGTTCAGAGCTAACATTTACTACCATTACGTTAGTCCAAACATGAATAGACAAAAAAGTGTGGCAGCAGCTTATAGCTTAGTTAGCCGACGTGTGATATTTTAAACTCTGAAATCATGTTTCAGTGGCACACTTCAACCTATTTGATGCTTTTCCCTGCTACGTCCACACATCCATAGGAACCATTCCTTCTTTGCTTTTAAGTGAGGGGAGCAAGTACTCCTCACAAAGGAAATGTAGCGGAAAATGGACCAGAATTCCCTGGATGGCCTTTAATTCTTCTCTGGCTTTCTCCGGGTCGGTAAGACTGAGATTCTCCGTGTTCACGTTCCCCAGCAACTCACGCAAGTTACGGATGGAGTCCAGTGGAAGACATCGGAAGACCTGCACAGTGAAGAAAAGGTACTGCAGTACATCCACTGGCCAACTTTTATTTCAAGGTGAAAAGATTCCAGAAATCTAATCCATAACTAGAACATGCAACCATCGAGATCTCTGGGATTAGCATTGTGAGTGTAAATATCTGGGTAATGATAGCATAGAAGTGCATGGGAGTGGTGCTATTGTCTGCAGGACTGCTGCACAACCTGCAAATTACAGTAATTGCAGGTTTTGTCATAGTTTAGACTTGCAATGCATTCAATGCATTTGTATCAGTTCAAACCCAGCACAGTGACTTTAAATGAAAACCTTTAGTTAAAGACATCAGATTCATAAATGGCATAGAGGGGGTGTGGAGGAATTCAGAACACAAGGTCTGTCCCTCACCTTCTCATAGATGACGGCATTGGTTTGGGCGATTTTGTTCCAAACATTGTTGAAGAAATGATCACTGATTGGATCATCAATGTCCAGAGTTGGGTCAGATTTTGCTCCGAGAAGTACACTGAGGAGAGGAGGTAAAGGGTGAATTTAGACAGTTAGTTTATTTTAACAGTATTTAGAGCAGTCGTTCTCAACTTTTTTTACTCTAAGGCCCCCTTTGTCCAAGACAATATTAAAAGGCCCTTCTATGTGCAGTAAGCTGATAAGTACCTCTTGTACTTATGTTGTAATAAAAATAAATAAACTAAAAAAATAAGATGCTAGTTTAATGTTGTACATCTTTATTCTCAGGGGTCGTTTACAATGAAAACACCATTTTCAACTAAAACAGAAAACTTTTTATGCATTTTGGCCATTCATTTACACAACAATGGCGTTTTTACACACAAACGCAAACTTTTGAAAACAGGTTTTAAAGTGCAACTTTTAAATAACGATACTATTATTGTCTCCGCGTAAACTACAAAAAAGCGAATGTGTTAAAACGGTGATGTCATGCGCATCATATAACATGTTCAGTCTATAAGACCAATTTCCAGCCGACGTCACAGTTGCGTCACGGCGCTAGCTGGTGGCAGAACAAAGGGAAAACTGGAGGCGGCAAATACAAACCAGCACAGATTCGGCTACAAAATAAGGATCTTAAATTATTCTTCTTATTATTAAATGTCATCTTGTTGTGTTGTTGGGTGCAAGAATCAATGAAAAATTAATATGCTTTATCTGCAACTTTTTATTTCTAGAAAATATTCACCTCATTAAAATTGCACCGTAATGTCACTCTTTACATTGTCGTCTTCATGGTGCTGGCTAGGCAAAACAAAACCTAACAAAACTTGCAGACTTTACGTTAGTGAAGCGGCCAGAGGGATCGTTCTGCCACCACCTAAGCTCCGCCCACATAAAAACGTCACCATGTTTACCAACTGAAAATTGGTCTATAGGCGGATTGTTTTTTATTTTAGCATTTGCAGCATAATGCAGCATTTTCAGTCGTTTTCGCAGATCTGTGTGAACAGGGATCGTTTTGACAGCTTTGTCTGTAAGCAAACAACTTTTCCGTTTGTAGTACATCGTTGTCATGTAAATGTATCATTATTGTTTTAATTATGTTTCACAAGGCAAAACCTCAAAACAAACCATATATCACGTAAGAACCCCCCTCCCCCTTTCCAGAGTTCGCTTAAAATCTAAGGGGCTGTTTACACCTGGCCACTTCATGCGTTTTCTCAGATCGGATATCTGATTTATCAAAACGATTCCATTTACACCTGGTCACATAAATGTGTTTTTGCAAAACGGATATAAATCCGATCTTCAATTCCCGCGCTATATGCAGATTTAATGGAGTGCACGTCACCGAAAGCAACAGATATGAGCTGCATTTTATTGATCATCAGCTAATTTCAAAATCAAAGACCGCAATAAGAGAGAGCGGCAGGTGTTCTGACGATTTGTGCTGCCTTGTCGAAAAATGCTACCGTAGTGCGAATCGATCACAGAATGTCGATTAATATTATGTGAAATACAATTATAATACAATTCTAAGTTATGAGTAGCTACTGTATACTACTGTTTTTATTTTTTAAACGGTGTGAAAAGTAAAAATTATCATCAAATATTGACTTGTCAAAGCACACCTTTCCTTAGTAACTGAAACTTTCAATTATTCTTCTTCAGCTGGCTGACCGTACAAATATTCATATGGTAGTTATCATTTTTTAAAGGGAAATTACTTTATAACACATGAAAATGTGCCTTTTGTTAAAAAAAACTGAGTCTGCACATGCGCATAACCAGTAAGTAGCAAATCTCGATGGGTAGCATGAATCGTCAGAACACCGGCAACAGCCCTGGTAAGATCCTTTCGTTTCTTTACTTTTAATGAAGATGATTAGTTTGTTAAGCGTCTGCGACTTACTTTCACTTTGATTTGCGATAGTTTGCACGTTGGCTTGATGAATAGATGCTCAGCTGCGGTAATGCGTGTTGCAGTAGCGACGTCATATCTGACTATAACTGTTGACATATAGCCTATATAACACGCTCTCACACGTTTATTTTTTAGCATTTTTGTGAGGAGTTAAATTTTACATATGTGGTTTCAACAACCAGATGCATTTACACTTGACCAGTTTCATCTGGAATGCGGCCCAGACCACCTCCTGAAGTGGTTTGAGCGATCGGATTTAAATCCGTCTCGAATGCGTTTCAGAGGGCATTTACACCAGGGGCCTCATTTATAAACGTTGCGTACGCACAAGAGAAGGCGTACGCCGCTCTCTACGCAATAATTGGTATTTATAAAAAGCAAACTTGACGGTAAAATGTGCGGTCCTTCACGCAAGCTCTGACCCAGGCGTACGCACAAAAACGGGTGAAATGAGAAAATTTCTGACACCGTCGGCAGATGGAAGAAACACGTGAAAGTGTGTGAAACTGTAGACCGTTGTGTAAAATAAATCACGAAGACTTCTCGAAGCAAGTCTTACAATTAACAGCCTATACACGAACACCCGTTTGATCGATCTGCAACAGAAATGCAAATTAACACATATTTGCAAAAAGAAAAGTGAAATAGGTTCTGCAATAATATTGGCATGTTATACAATTCATCCTCATAAATAAGATGGTAAACAGAACGAAATAATGTACAAAACTGATATTCTCGCCAATGTGTCCGTCAGGCGGAGCAGATATAGATGCAATTAGATAGATAGATAATTAGGGAGATAGATAATTAGGGAGATATGAAGAGTTCAGATGCAAAAGCCTCTAAGTGCCATTTGAAATTTTCTTCTAGAATGATCATTTTTATCAAGCTTGTATATTTAAGTTCAGTAATTTCACTTAAATGACAATTAATAGGTAATCTTCATTGCCATTTAAGTGGAATTACTGAACTTTAATATACAGGCTTGATAAAAATGATCATTCTAGAAGAAAATTTCAAATGGCACTTAGAGGCTTTTGCATCTGAACTCTTCATATATAGATAGATAGATAGATGTATTATTTGTCCACTGGGGAAAGTTGTTATCATAATAAAAATGTCTTCATCAGCTACGGAATCATGGTATTCATGCATATGCCTTTAGTTTGTTTTATTTTTGATAAAATAACGTATGACGTAGACCTATGTCTCAATCATTCAGAAAGCTGCAAGAAATTACATTTGCGCTGAACTATTTCCCATTTCCAAGTAGATTATAACCGACATCTGTAGCTTGTCATTTCTTTTTTTATTTCGGCCACAGTCCGAGGTTGTGAGGCTACAGCATTTATGGCGTCTGCAACCTTTTGCCACTCAAGTGCCTTTTTGGCATTAGTAGGCTAATGCCCACACTGTGCCCTCCAAACAACATTTTTCTCCTCTTTTCCACCTCGCCAACGATAACTTCTACTTCACATTGAGTGAAGTTACGTTTTTTGATTTCCTCTCTATGTTTGCCATGATTTCGCAATCGATGAATATTAACTTATGGGCGTTTCACGGACTATTTATGGGCAACTATGGGCGTGACATGAAGCCGCAAAAGCTGCGCTACATTTAGAATTGATTGTGATTTATTAAGGGAAAAATGCGTAGGATGTGCGTGCGCACGGTTTTATAAATCCGAATATTTCTGTGCGTACGCACGTCCTATGTTTCATCCGTACGCCACTTCTGACGCAAATCCTACGCAAAGTTTTATAAATGAGGCCCCTGGTCTTTTCACGATCGGATAGCTATCCGCTCACAGAAAACGCATGAAGTGGCCAGGTGTAAACAGCCCCAAAGTGGTCTAAGTGTGATTGATGTGTATATATATGCTTACATGGACCAAACAAAAGTTTAAAAAAACCCTCCTTTGAATCAAATGCTCTTAAACTAGGACTAAAAATCTCAGTCTACATCTTATTTCAATTTTTAATCATATCATATCAAGAGGTAATTATAGAGCATTTTACTTCATACATTAAAGACAAGTCAACATCAAAAAAGAAAATATCAACAAACTCATTTAGACTGATACAGTGCACCCTTGGGGTGTAGAAAGCCTGCGGAAAGTCTCAGAGCAAATAGAAATGTGAAATGTGAAAACTATTATGTGAGGAGATTAAAGTGGAATAACTCAATCAAATAATAGGACCCAGAGATGGACATTAATACAATCACTTGAGGTCACATCCCAAGGCTAGCAGTGAAAGGTGCTGCAGGCACACATCATTAGAAGCATCTCACTGTTTCCCTTGGCAACCAAGAGATGTTCTGGTAGCTGGCAGTATGGAACGCAGTGTGCCAACACAAATTGCTCTGCTCACACACACACACCTCTCTCTTTCACTCACACACTCCTACACAGACAGGGGAGAAGTTGGACAAAATGGGAAGCCGAGGTGCTTCACTGCACAAACAGAGATCTATCATAGCTACAGAACCATTCTCATGTAAAAGAGATGGATTATGACTATGTTTAAGGTATTTCATGGGAAGAAATGCGAAAAGATACAACGTGATTGGCTAATGACTACTAATGATATCATACTCATATCTCTGTTACTCATTTCCCATTAATTCTGCTTGACATTTCGTGACATTTCTTTAATTTGTCTCAGTCATTAAGGTCAGCTAGTCTTGAAGATATTTGTGCCTTACAGGCTGAACAGCCGTACCTCATAATGAATCACATCAGTAAATCATGATTTGTGCTTCGTCTTGAACGATTCATTATCTAGCTCATAAAACTCATTTGTTGTGAATCTAACTACACTAGCGTTCAAAAGTTTGAGCTCAATAAGTGTTTTTTAAAAAATTTTTTTTAGAAATTAATACTTCTATTAAGCAAGGACACATTACATTATACGTGACAGTAAAGATATTTAACATTTTACAAAAGATTTCTATTTCAAAAATATGCTGTTTTTTGATCTTTATATTTATCAAAGAATGCTGGGGGAAAAAATGTATCATGGTTTCAAAAAAAAAAAAAAAACTATTAAGCAGCACAATTGTTTTCAACATTGATAATAAGAAATGCTTATGAACCAAATCATCATGTTAAAATTATTTCTGAAGGATCATGTGACTGACGATTGAAGTAATGGCTGCTGAAAATTCAGCTTTTCACAATATTTTACTGTATTTTTAAATCAAATAAACGCAGCCCTGGTGAGCATAATAGACTTCTTTCAAAGACATTAAAATATATTACCAACCCCAAACCTTTAAAGTTTAAATGGAAGTGTACACTGGTTGCACTGTGCATATATGTTCTTGCTTGCAGTTTGCGATGACAGCTCAATAGAAAGACCTTTTCTTGCCTTTATTTTTTGGTACACAACCTGAGTTATCAGTCTGAATCACATTGGATTCAGACTGATAACTCACAATGCCATAGCGCTGTAGATTCAGTGCTGGAAACGCTGGAGAATCCAGTTTTCTGAGCCTCCATGCAAAGCATATCCAAAGACATTTTCATTCACTATGGAAATTGTCATGACTTTTCCAAGCTGAGTTTAAAATTCCCTAAAATTTCAGGTGTTTCCATGACTGTAGAAGACTCTGATGTAAGTATCATATAGTATATGTGTTTGACAGATTTGGTTTGATTGGTGGTTGCGACTCTTTCTGACTTCTTCACAGAAAGCTTGTCAACTTTAAATACATGCTCTGGTGCATCTCTGTCGCTGCTTTGGACACAAGTATACACACCTGAAGCACTCCTTTCGTAAGGCGAGTGCTAGTGGTCCAGCCTGGTAGTCCTCTCCGTTCATGACTGAGGGAACTCTTTCCTCATCCTCAACCAGCACTGCCAGCTCACTGTCACGACTGCCCAGCATGCTCCTGTCATTGATGTTGGCTGACCCTGATAACAACAGGAGAGGAAGGACATTTTGAAGAACTTTAAATTTGAACGTACAGGTGGATTTTGGAGCTTTTTCATGCAAATAGTATCATGGGTCAGCGATTCCCAAAATCCCATCCCAAGGTGCAAATACCCCAGGGATACTTTATATATGTTGCTTTGTTAAACCTATATAAAATAAATTATTTAAAGACGGTCAGCAGATTGAAGTTGAGCTTTGATGATGATTAATTTTCACCATTATCCACCATGGGTCTGTGGGTAGGGTGACCACCCGTCCCGCTTTGCGGTGTACGGCACAGCATTTTCACCCCTTGTCCCGCACGTCGTATATTGAGATAATATCCCGCATTTTCATTAGTCTGTTGGTTTTAATTATCATATTAAGAAAACATGCATGCGTTCTTTTGCCTTTTTAAGAAAGCATTTTATTTATTCTTTTTGCGTCATAGTTTTTCACCTATATTTAACAGCGCTTCGTCAGAAGTAGAAATAAAAACAGCCGTTTTTTAAAATCCTATCCAATGGTTGAAAAGAAAGGAGTAAACACGGTCACTAGTAGGTTGACGCCTAGATTTATAAAAAAAATAAAACTTTTGTAACAACACAAATGTCTTTTACTGTCACTTTGTATCAATTTAATGTGTCCTTGTTAAATAAAAGTAATAATTTCTTAAAAATCTGTCTTACATCAATCTTTGGGTCATAGACATAGTCTCTTGTGTCTTATTGTATTAATCTGAAGCCAAATGTCTCACCTATGATGTAGCAACGGTCGTCAGCGATAAGGGCTTTGCTGTGGACATAGATGAGCTCTGTAACAGGGGATTGCCCGAGCTGAGTGTGTGTGCGCAGACCACACAGAGAAATATACTGTGTCCATTCATCCTGCACTGATGAGAAGATGAGACGGGCATTAAAACAATAAATGGTAAACCATTACTGTGATTGGTTAATGAGTAGAATGTTATAATACATGGCTAAAAACAACAACATCAGATAAACTAAATCATTTAGTCACTAATAAACAGACAAATGTGAAAGTAACAGATGGAGAACAAGACAGTTTTCAAAAATGTACTCTACCGGAGTGGCAGAATTACAGACAGCTAAACATGTTTCTGCCAGATACTTACTTTGTTCCTTTAATCTTGAAAGAATGGAGTGTTCTCCTCGATTAATCGTTCTACACACAGAAAAAGTTCTCTTAGCAAAACACGATCGCATATTTTGGGTGGCAAGAGTGTGTATTAATGTAGTTGTTTAGCTGGGCTGGAGTGTGTGTGTGTACCTGTAGGTGAAGTGAAGTATAGCCTGAATGGCATTTCCTCCTCCCTGACTGATGTCACCCTCAAAGCCGGGCAGCAGGGGAATTACAACAAACACCCTGTACTTCTTCCCCTCACTATAACAATTCAAACAAAGCGTACACTTCATGCTAATAAGAAACACTGCAGAATACATTTTATTTGACTGAACTTGTATTATTTTCACAGAGGTAACACACCTGTGAGCCCGTAGGATCCGTTTGACAATAGCATCCCCGATGGTGTTGTGTACATTCTTCTCATCTGAGCAGCTGATGAAGAACTGATTCTAAAAAAGAGGAGGGACAGAGAGGGGTTTGTTTCATTTGTCTCACTTGTTTGCTAAACTCTGGGCATCTGGTACTGAAATAATGTGATTGTCTAAGAGCATCAAACGGACATGGTGGGCTGCAGCATGTGATCTTTGCAAAAGTTCTATTTCCAGTAAAGCTGCCTTACTAAATGTTCTACAGCCAACGACCAGGAGCCAGATTCACAAAACATTCTTACTGTAACATTCTCCCTGTAATGGCTTATTCACACCGCACCTACAGATGTCGACCAACAGCAACAGACATGTTCGTCGGGTTTTGTCAGATCAGTGCATTACGCGCCGGTCATTGAAAGTCTGAGATGTCATACTGTAATATGGCGATCGTCGGTAATAGTCTGTTGGTGCAGTGTGAATTAGCCTTAAGATCACTATTGCCTTACCTAAGAAACAAATGTTTATGAATATTTTATATAAATAAAAGATATTCCCAAAAAGACATGTTTTTTAAAGACTATTGTTAAATCATCAGTTGCTCACCCTGATGTCGTTCCAAACCTGTTTGGGTTTCTTTCTTCTGCAGAACACTAAAGAAGATATTTGAAGTAACGAAACCGTTTTGGTGACCATTGACTTCCATTGTATGGACAACAAAGCACTGAGACATTTCTCAAAATATCTTCTTTAGTGCTCCGCAGAAGAAAGAAAGACATACAAGTTAAAAAATTACATATGGGTGAGTAAATGACAGAATTTTCTGCGTGAACTATCCCAATAAAAATCACCATAAATAAACTCTTAAACTTAGGATAGCCTCAATTTACTTCTATAATCTAGCATACTAGAAGACTAATTAGATATGTGTAGTACAGAATTATAAATTACTAAGCCTGACATTGTTTTCTTTAGAAAATAGATAATAATTGGAACATTCTTATAAAATACCTCTCAAATAATCTTATATAATTCATATTCATTAATTAATATCCATATTAAATAAATACAAAAGTAAATTGTAGAACATAATTGAGTCTGGACAACACCAGTGTTTGTTGATGAATTTAAAGTTTTTAAATATAAAGGTTTTAGCTTTCAATACTTGTTAATATTGTTTTTATTATTATTTCTGTATGGACATAAACATTTCCTCTGGATGTAGTTGAAGCATATCTGTTCCATTCTTCCTAGTTTAGCTGACTGTTTCTGAGCATGAGGCAAGAGCAGAGAGTATTGTGTGTTGCCAGCTGAATGCAGTAGAATCACATGATCCTAGTGGGAGAGAACACTGTAAACAACTCCACAACACTGAGACTTTGTGTGTGAACAGAACACAGAGTCTGTTCAGCTGTGTGTGCGTGAAGTCTTATGAGTCAGAGGTAAATGCTTTTGGTAAGGTCATAGAATGAGTGTTACCTCTAGATAAATGTAATGCTCGCTGTTCTCAATAACATGTACATAGGCATTGAGGATTGAATGTTCACATGTGCCAGTGGACCAGCGATCGACAGAACGAAGAATCTGGGAGAAAAACAGGGGAGTATGAAAGAGAAACAGACATAAATAAATGATGATGGCAAAAAGCAAAATAAATTAAATGAGGGGGAAAGAGGGAGAGAAGGGAAAACTGCATGAACACACATGTACCTGTACAGAGGCTTTTGTGACACCAGGGATTGTGAATGGCAGCTTATTTGCTGTGCAGTGAGATTTCGGCAGTAGGTACGGGTAGAAGTCATCCTTGTACTTGTTCTTAAAGATCTTAAAAGACAAATAGAATATAAGAAGAAAAATGCAACGATAGAAGTTTCCAGAGTGCATGTAGATCCAAAAACAATCAATAAAATTAGTCATTTGATTTCTGACCTTAGTGAAGTTCCAGCGCTGGATGAAGTGTCGTGCAAGATCTCTGGCTGCTTTCCCATGATGCACCGCACCCAGGTCTCGCCAGGGGATGCGTGGCACCTGAGTTCTGTCAACATTGTCTGAGGGGGGAAAAGCAGAAGCTACTCTACTGGCTATACCCACATTCAATATTCCCTTATCTTTGTTCTTGCAAAGCATAAACATCAAATGATATTTAAATGATAATCCTAAGAAGAATTCTGTCCTTTTGAACTTTTTTTTATTCATCAAAGAATCCTGAAAAAACTGTATCATGAGTTCCACAAAAATATTAAGCAGCACAACAGTTTTCAACATTGAAACCTTGAGCACCAAATCATTGCATTCACCGGTCTGGCAGTTCTACCAGGTGTCTGAAAAGGACAATACATCTGCAACGTCTTTGCAGAGAGTGGAGAAATTGCGACGACAGCAACCCTACAGCATGACAGAAAGAAACTCGAGCTGTGTGATTTTACTACATTTCTTTCCTTCACAGTGGTGCACTTTCGTTCCTCCCTAAAAGCAAAACTTAATGTTCGAATCAGCTAGATCAGCGATTGTCATAGAATGCAGTCTACTGTTGCTAAACTGCAGCATGTGTTCGATGATAAAAAGAGTTATTAAAACTGCATTAAGCCGCGAAATAGAAATTGTTCCCCAAGCGACTTTCTGTGCGTGCACTAAGAGACGGAGTGGAACACAGACAAGCAAAGTGAACTTTGAGTTTCGGGTTCGCACCTAAACGGATAAATACACACAGAAATATGTCAAAATGCCTGGCTTAGGGAGTATACGATTAAATACTGTTGGTTATGTCTTAAGTGAACATAAAGGTTTGAGAAATTAGTCACATGTGTAACAGTATATTGGATCCGTGCATTAGGTCGTAAAGTGATAGCAGCCTAAGGCCCCGTTTACACGAGAACGATTCCGGGTGAAAACGTAAAAATATTTTATCGGATGTGGCTTTCGTTTACACGGCAACGGCGTTTTGGGGGCTTAAAAACGCAAAAAAGTGAAACCACCCTCCAGAGTGGAAATCTTAAAAACGCTCCACCGTCGCGTTCCCGTCTAAACGGTAAAAACGCAAATCTGCTCACGGTGGCTCTCGTCGCGTACGCGTTTACGTCACATGCATGCGCCAGTACAGGGAAATAACAACCAACATGTCAGATTATTTCCATACGTCGGACCTTCAAGTTGCCCTAGCAGCTCTGAAAAACATACAAGAGTCTTTTCAGCAGTTGTACAAAATATTCTAAGATATTGGTGTTGTTGTGTGGCAGTGCTTCACATTGCCACCTAGCCGCCTGGAGTGCATACTACATCGAATTTCACACACTTTTGCGTCACCGTATGCACGCGGATTTCCCACCCATTACGCTCGTCTAAACGCAGAATAAAAAGTGATAACGCAACGCCACTTTTGCGTTTTCTCTTCAGATCGTTTCCGTGTAAACATAGCCTAATATTCCCGCTGCCGTCTGTGTCATTAATGTTAATCAAACAAGAAAAGAGAAAGAGAAAATCACTCAACCGCTCTTTAGTAGATTTAGTAGGATTAATCTATATTTAATTTATACAGTGAAGACTATGCAGTTGTTAGGCATTTGATAACATTCTGTTGATAAAGACTGTTCTGTTTTTTTATTTTTTCTAAGAGAGGTAATGGAATATGTTGCACATGTTATTTGCCAGTAAATAAAGAGTTGTCAATTCGTGATATTTCTCACCTCTTCATTTGTTTTTATACTTAAGTTAAAATACATTGTTGTTAAGAATAGCTAAATAACCTCAGTGGGTCTATTTGAAGCCTTCTATTTATCATGTAGTATTATTTATTTCATTGATCGTATCAACCAATCCTGCTTCCAGTGATCTGTAATTGGCCCCAAAAGCCCTGATCGGAGCAATGATATGCAAGTGTTAGATGGGTTATTTAAAAGAATAAAAAATGTATGTAAGTAGTGATGTAAGTCTACATTGGACTGTGTACCTTGATAGGGCTGATCCAGCTGTGTCCAATCTCTCTTGATAAAGTTGCTGTAATCTTTTCCCAGCCACAAGAGGGCATTACAGCTCAGATCGACTTCATCCTCACACTCTGACGCAGATACTGTCAGAGGAACTGCAGAGCCATCCACAGTATCAGACTGAGTCAGGAAGAGGGAGAGGGAGAGGGAGAGGGAAGTTAAAAGACAGAAATGAAACAGGGAGAGATGAAGAGTACGGGATCATTTAAGGATATCACCATATCTACTGGTCACAACTGTACCTCTGGGCCTGCCTCTGCATGACTGGCTGGTTTTGGGGGTTCCAGATCACTCAGCCTATAGTCGCTGTCATCCCACCTCCCAAACGCAAGATCCAACCCGCCCACAAAGGCCACTGATTGGTCGATGGCTACCATTTTCTCATGATGGGCCCAGAGGAACACAACTGAGGAAACATGATCAGGGTGACGCATCACCTAGGGCAAAAGAAATATAGAATGAATCATCTATATAAAAAAAGAACACACAATAAGACATCTGTCATGATGTGAAAGAATGACAAAATTGGGAGGGAGAAGAGGACAGCAGAATGAGCAGATGTGTGTAGTAAATCAAACCTTAATATTGGGGTGGAGGTTCATTAGTGTTCTCTTGCTGTAGCCGCTATTGATACCCAGAGCCAGTTCCACCTCCTTATACAACAACACACACACCTTCACTCCCTGTTCCTAAACACCACACACACACACACACGTAATGTTAAAGTTTATAGCAATCAACATATTTAAACATTTACATAGTTTGACAGATGGACTGCTTTTTAAGATAGATAGGGGAGAGAACTTATGAAATGTATAAAGGAATAAATGTAATGTAAAAGAGTTTTCCCCCATACTGCTTTGCGTTTGAGAATCTTGTCCAGGCGCCAGTATGTTCCTGTAGCTGGACGTTTGAGGAAAACCTCTGGACTGAGCCTGCAGAGAGAAAACTCAAATGTCTTCACAGCACTTTCAATCATACAACACAACATTCAACAATGACAACACAATATTGTACAACTGAATCTCAGATATTCCCAGCATCCGAAAATGCCTACTTCCCAAGTTAACTATGGTTAAAAAAAATTGGAGTTTGTAAAATTTGTTAATGTTTTAAAAAGAGGTCTCTTATGCTCACCAAGTCTGCATTAATTTGATCAAAAATACCGTTTTTTTTAAACATAAATAATGTATTATTGTGATGGTAAATCAGAATTTTCAGCATCATTACTCCAGTCTTCAGTGTCATGCTTCAGAAATCATTCTGATATGGTGATTTGTTGCTCAAGAAACATTTCTTATTTTTATCTTTGTGCTGCTTTTTTTTGGTGGAAACACTGAAACTTTTCAGGTTTCTTCGATGAATAGAAAATTAGAAAAAACAACATTTATTTGAAATACAAAATCTTTGCAACATTATACATCTTTACAGTCACTTTTTATCAATTTAATGTGTCCTTGCTAAATAAAAGAATAAACTTACTGATCCCAAACCATTGAATGGAAGTTTTTTAGCATACGAAAGGCAGTAAGTCACATGAGTAGTATGTCCATGCCATGGGTTAAAATACTTAGATGACCTGTGTTTCAAAGAACATGTTACTATCCCATGAGGCCACAGGAGAGGAATAATCCTCATATTCATTAATGGCGGAGAACAGTGATGCAACCAATATCGTGGGTCACATAGCAATGCCAACATGGTGGAAGCAGTATGTCTGCATTGTATATATACCACACATGGTCAAAAAAATAGGCTCTTTTTCATCAAATGGAGTGCTGTACATACACTGACAGTATGTAATTTCAAATGGAGCAACTGACGCTCTCAGGCCATCTACTGTACATGTGTGTGTGGTAGCACACTTACCACCAATCAGTGATGAAGATCTCCTCCTTGGCCTGTTCCAGTGCATCAGCCAGGTCAGAGAAATAGCCATTCCCGTTAACGTACCTGTCAATCAACCAGTAAGTCATTTACTCAATACCCACTTCATTATCTAACTAGTCAATCAATCAATCAATGTTCTTTGAACAGAAGTACATCCAAGGACATATTATGTATATGCACACACCACTTTGTGAGGGTGTCCGGCCTGGGTGGGGCAAAGCCTTCGAAGCGATGGGTCTGGAGGAAATCACATCGCTCAGAGAGACGCCGAATCTCATGACTCCACCATTGGGCTTGCCTGTAGCTATTGCACTTAATCACCAGCTTCCTACAAAATACACACACACACACCAGCTGTGGCTACACATGCCTCTGTAAAACTGTCTATATCAGTAGTGGGAAGACTTCCTGATATTGGTCTCCACTGTTTTACCTGCTGAAGTTCTCGATGCAGACGCCATATTTAGTATCAGTGTAAACACGTCCAACCAACACCTTCAGCTCAGGGTCATAAAGCAGTACAAACGACACATTGCCGGGATCTCTGCTCATACACAGCCATGATAGAAAACAAAAACATTAGTCATTATTTAGAATGTAACATTAAATATTAATCCACATTAAATATGAGTATTGTAACAAACAATAACAAATGCTGAGTCTATTCAGAGCAGACTCCAGCAGCATTTTATACACAGAATAAAAAGTATAAATATATGATTTCAAAAGCAATACAAAGAACAAAATAATTTCGTCAGGTTCACATTGATTATACATTAAAGGATAAGTTCACTTTTAAAAAAACTTTTGCTGATAATTTACTCACCCCCATGTCATCCAAGATGTCCATGTCTTTCTTTCTTCAGTCGAAAAGAAATTAAGGTTTTTGATGAAAACATTCCCGGATTTTTCTCCATATAATGCACTTTGCTGGGCACCAAACGGTTCAAGGTCCAAAAGACAGTTTCAGTGCAAACTGCAAACTGTTCAAATGGCTTTAAACGACACCAGACGATGAATAAGGGTCTTATCAAGCGAAACGATTGGTCATTTAAAAAATAAATAACAAAGTTTAGGTTTTATAAGCTCAAATGCTCGCCTTGCTCTGTTCTGTGTGACTCTCCTCTTCGAACTCGTTCATCAAAATGAACAAATCTTTTTCCGAGTCAATTCGTTCATTTCGTTCGTTAAATGAACCAAATGACTCGAAAAAAGATTTGTTCATTTTGATGAACGAGTTCGAACAGGAGAGTCACGAACGTGCATCACAGAACAGAGCAAGGCGAGCATTTGACATTATTAAACTTAAACTTTGATTTTTTTTTTTTAAATGACCAATCGTTTCGCTTGATAAGACCATTATTCATCGTCTGGAATCGTTTAAAGCCCTTTGAACAGTTTGCAGTTTGCACTGAAACTGTCTTTTGGACCTTGAACCGTTTGGTGCCCAGCAAAGTGCATTATATGGAGAAAAATCCTGGAATGTTTTCATCAAAAACCTTAATTTCTTTTTGACTGAAGAAAGAAAGACATGGACATCTTGGATGACATGGGGGTGAGTAAATTATCAGCAAAAGTTTTTTTTAAAGTGAACTTATCCTTTAAGACTACCGTTCAAAAGTCTGGGGTCAGTACGAAATTAAGACTCTTCAGGAAAGATGCATTAAAATGATAGTAGTAAAGATAATTTCAAATAAATGCACTTCTTTTGACATTAATCATAAGAAATGTTTCTTGAGCAGCAAATTAGCATATTAGAATGATTTCTGAAGGATCATGTGACACTGAAGACTGGAGTAATGATGCTGAAAATTCCACTTTGCCATCACAGAAATAAATTATATAAAATATATATATTATAAAATATATTCAAATAAATTGTAATAATATTCAACGATATTTCAGCTTTTACTGTATTTCTGATCAAATAAATGGAGCCTTGGTGAGTATAAGAGACCTCTTTCAAAAACATTAAAAAGAATAGTAAACGATAGTAATTATGAGAGGTGGAGAAGGTGTAAAATAGTGGAAGAAAGTTTTATATATAGTGCTAATAATATATACTGTATATGTCAAACATATATAAACAACTGATGAGGAGGTCCACACCCAGATGAGGCCAGTCAGCCACAGAGACAACACCTCTGATCCAGGGATGGAAATTAACTTTTTTGTCCACCTGCCACTGTGGCTGGTGGATTCCAAAATCTACCAGCCACTCAACGTTTTTACCAGCCACCTTCTTGTTTTTAACCGACAATGTGTAACTGCATGTGAAAATTAATACTACAAGATCTACAATACTTAAGGCATTTATTCCATAGGGTAAAGTCTCAAGGTGTGCCTCCTCTAAAAGTGTCCGGGTGAAACAGCATGCTACTTTTATTTACCCGCCACGGTGGCTGGTAGGTGAAGCGAGTTTACCAGCCAAAACACAAAAATCACCAGCATTTGGCTGGTGGCTAGTGCTAATTTCCATCCCTGCTCTGATTGTCCTTTATGAAGATATGTAAACAAGCACGACATTGAAAAGCCTCTGAGGTTGTCAGTCTTTGGCCAATATATTTTATGATGGGGCAGTCAGAGTACCGACAACCTGGGAGAAGTGCAGGTACGCAAGAAAAAGTGAAAGTACGCTCCAGATTAAAATATAGAAGTGCCTACTGCATACCAGCCCACTTCGAGCACTGCCCTCAGGGCTTTTTACTAGCACACAATAAAGGGCTGGGCAAAGTTTCACCTCTGTTTTCAAGGAAACCGTTCTGTTTTCTAGAATTGTTTGGCATACAGGCATAATGCATGGTTACAGCAAATAACTTAAACAGGATCAAGCTGCAAATGTAGAAGGAACAATTATGAGTCATGTCATTTCCTGAAAATGTCTTTCCTGCAGTGTTTTAAAATGCTGTTAAAATACTGAGAGAGGCATTCAGTGCTGTGCAACCGAGTGGTTACATGTGACACTCCTGACCTGTGCAAATGTATCTTAAATTCTATTAGCGATAATACACACTTGTGATAGTCCTTTAATAGACCTAGTGTCTGTTCTGGTTAATGACACAACACCGATGACCTCTATAACTGATATAGTAAAGGGAAGAACCTGTTTGACAGGCTTCTAATCCAAGTACTAACTCCTATATCATCTTAAACTATAGCTTTAAACTTTCTATAACCTTCTGTGATTTTGAAGTAGGAAGTAAGCTGCAGGCTGAGAGGGATCAATATTTGTTTTGAAAGACAATCCTTTCCACCCTACATTGTATAATATTGCATAGATGAAACATGCTGGATGTAGCGTATCTCTGCTGGATGTGGTAATCAGTGTTTCTGAGGGTAAAATTAGAAGTTTGCCACATGACAATAAAGGGTTCTGGTAAATATGACTCATGCTAAAGGACAATGAATTAAAAATATTTACACTACCGTTCAAAAGTTTGGGGTCAGAGAGAATTTTATTTTTATTTTTTGGAGGAAAGAAATCAATACTTTTATTCATCAAGGAATAATTAATTTGATCGAAAGTGACAGTAAAGACATTTATAATGTTACAAAAGTCTTTTGAACTTCCTATTCATCAAAGAATCCTAAAAAAAAAAAAAAAAAAAAAAAAGTACAACTGACAGACCAACAACTGTTTCAACATTGATAATAATAATAAATGTTTCTTGAGCATCAAATCCTCATATTATACTGATTTGTGAAGGATCATTTGACACTGAAGACACTGACACTGGTGATGCTGAAAATTCAGCTTTGATCACAGGAATAAATTACACTTTACTATATATTCACACAGAAAACAGCTGATTTACACTGGAATAATATTTAATACTATAACTGATTTTTGTTGTATTTTTAATCAAATAAGCGCAGCCATGGTTAGCAGAAGAGAATTATTTTAAAAGTATTTAAAATCGTACCGACCCCAAACTTTTGAACGGTAGTGTATGTTGTAACATGAAACAAAATAAAATAGCATGAAGCAATGTGAGGTAACCGATATCAATTCACATGTGGGCTTATTTGTTTTGTAGTGAACTCACCTGGACATGTACAGGAGGAACGAATCCTTCACCACAAGCCAGCGACGGGACCAGCGGAAGCAGAACTGATGGTGTCCGATACAGTTGAGCCCCTGGATGCGGTGACCCCCGGACCGTTTCAGAATATAGCCTTCTCTGAGACAAACAAATAAACAAACAAAAACTAAAAGAAGAGTTGCAGAAATACATGTAAGCAACAATGGAATAGTACTAAAATCACAAAAGAAGAAACACACACAGTCTGTACTCACAGGCCTTTGGGTCCAAGGTCTCTGATGAAGGACAGCGGACTGATTGCCAGGAAGTCTAACTGAGAGCATGATATACACATACATTTTAGTATGCATGTATGCAACCAAAATCCTCTGTAGCTTTGTATTTGTGTGTGTGAGGGGATCAACTCGGATACACTAAGAATACAAAATTGGGTAACACTTTATTTTAAGGTGCTTGTAATAAGCAGTAATTAACAGTTAATAAGACACTTATAAGACCTTATAAGATGCATATAAGATGCATATAAGCATTAACTAATTATAATAAATAAATTAAATTAAATAATAAATTTCTCAAGTATCAATACATTGCACTTTTAGAACAGCCGAACAAACATAAATGGTAACACAAACTCCCAGTCACTTAAAAAATGTACCTTCCCAAGAGGGAGTAGTTTCCCTGATCTCTTCAGGGCCTGAACCTTTAATTAACCCTTATATGAAGTAGTTAATGCTTATATGCATCTTATATGCATCTTATAAGGTCTTATAAGTGTCTTATTAACTGTTAATTACTGCTTATTACAAGCACCTTAAAATAAAGTGTTACCCAAAATTGTCTCCAGAATTTAAAAGCTAAATCTGACAGTCTTTTTGGAGACATTCAGGACATCCTTAATAAAACATTACAGATCGACCAATATTATCATATTACTATTATGTTGTCCAATAGCCAATATCCAGAAAAGTGTTTAATACAGCTTTTTGGCACAATAACGAAATAATTATTCGATTTCAACAATAAAAACATATGCATTATTTTTTATTATTCAGTAGACCCAATACTGAAGGACGGATAACTGTCAGTATGTAAAGTAGAAAAGTATTCAAAAGGTATATGAATATCAGTTAAAACCAAACCACATACCAGTCAAATGATTTTTTTTTTTTTTACAATAATGTTTATTTCTTTTAAATTATGTTTATTTTAATTCTAAAATTGTAAAGTCTTTCTTTTAGGGGTAGGGTGATTATACATATTTACAGTATGTGCGTGTATGCTTCTCACCAGTCCATGAAAATTCCTGTAGAAGGTGTTTTCTAGCAAGTTGTTTAAATATTCCTCGAGATATTTCTGGAAAACACAAACATAAACACCTTGTACAACACGTTGGGTGAGCAACTTTTGGAGGGAAGTGATGCTTTGCTTTAGTACATATGTACCGGTTTGCTGGACGTTCTCCTGATTCTATCGGTTCCGTGTAAAGTCGGCATGTCCTCTGTCAAACCTGCCATCTGTTGTCTCTGAATGGCAAATCTAATTCAAATCACAAGCAAAATGAAAGGAAAACACAAGGTCAAAACTCTAGGCCAAACAAATGAAAGCGTTGTGAATTTGCATGTGTGTGTGTGTGTGTGTGTGTGTGTGTGTGTGTGCGCACGCGCTCACCTCCCCAGAGGCAAGAACTGTAGCAACACTTTGTGTTTGTACAGGTCTCTGTGGAGCTCCTGGAAGTGCTTGTACTTTTTTTTCACCGTCCATGTGAACTCACCATGTGTCAGACGGACTGTGTACAAAGTGCACACATTTACCTACAAACAAGATATTTAGACTGTCAGGTATAACGCAACAATACACTGTTAAGTAAAAAGTCACAAACCTACCTTGGAGCGTGTAGTGTATCGCTCCATGTTTTCCACTTTGCAGGTGATAGGTGTGCCATGAATGAGAGGAGGAATGGCTCCCTCCTTCAGGTCTGCTAGATGATGTACAACGAAAAAGTCACGCTCCTCTGATAGAGACACAGAAAGACAAGAATAAAGCCACTATTGCGAAAATGCTTTTTTCATTTGCCTAACTTAATACTAAAAATGCAAAACAATATAAGTGAAAAGTTTAATTGAAAAATCATCATGAACTTCTGTTTTAATGAAAGTTCAATTAACTCCACAAGTTTGTGTAAAACCCAGTGTTATAGTCGAGACCAGCTCACTCGAGTTCGACCAGAAGAGTCCACATGCTCCCAATTTCATAACAAGACCAAGGCCATAAAACATGCTCTCGGACTCAGATTTAAAGACCATATTTTCATGGTCTTGGCCTTGTCGTGGACTCTGGAGCATTTGAACTCGTTCTTGATTCGGACTCGAATGAGCTGGTCTAGAGACTACAACACTGGTATGATTTAAAATGATCCAAAGAGCATCTTGTACTTCAATGAGAATATCTTACCATCAGTACAAAGAGTCACATGATCAATGTCACAGATTTCCTTATTTGATTAGTGACCTAGAAATAGTGCAGAATCTGAAAAACTATGTATTGTACACCATAATAATTCTTTGTTTATTTTCAGGTTTGCATTAGATTTGAATCCCAGACTTTGGCCCCTCCGTTCCTCCTCGTTGTGTTTTGAAGACCAGCCACTGTGACAGGCCTCAGTATCAACAATGTCATATCACCAGAGGTCAAAGATCAGACAAGTCACTGAGTTTCAGTGTTGTGCTTAAGAACACAATCCTTCTAGAAGTATGTGAATGAGAGAAAACAGCTGTGAAACCAGTCACTCCTCTCTTTGTATTCTACATGTTTTACAATTTTTTCACAAGGAAGTACAACAAACCCATTGTCAAACTTCCAATAGCTGTTCATACAGCATGACTGACATGTGGACGTGGCATAAATAATCTTTTGTCCTTAGAGACAAAACAGTGATTGAAAAGAAGTATGTGTGTTAACTGTGAGTTGTTAAGCAAATAACTAATAACTTTTTTTGTTCTGTAATAAAATAAACACTGGGAAAATGTCACAAGCATTATGCCTGTCCCCTGAAATTCCTTAGTTGCAATGACAAACTGAGCACTGGAATTATTTGATCACATCTGAGACATGGTTTCTATAAAATTTTCTTACAGCTCACATTGTCAGAGTCTTGATTGTCTATACCAGAAAACCTTTTGTGTTCTTGGTACGTGACACTGTAACTGCAAATATAAATGGTAAACGGTCTTGTGACAAATATATGTATATAAAAAAGAGCTGTTGTGCTCTTTGTAGAGCAGAATTCTGCTGTCCCGTGAAATATAGTCCACACTCCATAAATAGTAATGCGCTAATATTAAGATTTTAGCCAACACCAATAAACCAATAATTATTTTCATGTTGTTCCATTTAAAACTGATAAATTATTAATGTTAAATGTCTAAACTATTAAAACAATAAAACAGACTAAAAATTCCAATAAGTTTTGAATTTGTTCATCAGGGTGTGGACAGCCAGCAGAAAGGTATGCAAACAATTTACATGGTGATCATAGCTATAAGGCAAGCAATGAACAAGCTAAAAAGCGAATGAAAACTGTGTGCACAACTGTGGTGCATATTCAAGCTCAAAGTAAAAAGACATTAACTAAACGATAATGGTCTTTTGGGTTTACTTGAGAGTTACAGGCAGGTTTTAAACTTTGTGATCTGTTAATAAACACTATTGTAAGTGATTTGTCTCACCACTGTTGTTTTTGATAGATTTCAGCTGATCCTCAGTAAGGTCGCACAGCACGGTGTCCACACATTTTCGCCACCTTTGAGCTGCATTCGTCTCAGGACTAGCCATAAGGCTTCTGGACCACGACACACCTGTGCAAACACACCAACAAACGAACACCCACGCACACAAAGAGGGGAAAAAAGAAGAAATTCACTTTGTTTTTTCAACATAGTTTTTCAAAATGCGAAACGTTAACATGATATAAAACTAGACACTACAGTGCGTGCAGAATTATTAGGCACATTGATTTTCTGATAATGTTTTTTTTTCAGGCACATTTTACCAATTCCAAATCACATTAATCTTAATAACTACTATTAATTTTGTATTTAATAATTTAATAATAAGTGATATATAGCTAATTTTTCATGAAGGCTGGAAATGAAAACGCCTTATATTCAGGAGTGCATAATTATTAGGCACGTTTTCTTTTACAGATAAAGTAAGCCAAAAAAACCTCATACTGAAAAGTCAAAAATTATGAAATGCCCATTAGAAGGATGCAATACTAGAAATTGCAGTTAAGGCATGACCATTGGACAGTGAAATGCTCATTGGGTCAGCAGGGGCAGACAAAAACAGATGGAGAAGAAAAGACACATGTTAACTGCAAAAGAATTAAGAATTAAGTGTGAAACTATCAGGAACCCTTTAGTCTCCAGCACCATCATTTTCCAGAACTGCAACCTACCTGGAGTCTCCAGAAGTGCAAGGTGTCAGGATCTCAGAGAATCCTAGACAGGATTAAGCATCCTAAAAAATGACCCCCACTTAATAATAATCACAAGCTGAAGTGTAATAAAATACATGAAGACTGTTTTTTGAAGACTATTGGACCAGCACCACATCCTCTTGCACCACTGTTTGAAGAATTCATCTTCCAGAATCTAGCAGTAAGTTTTGGGAGTGCATTTTAGTCCATCTCCTACCATGAAGTCCATATTACAGCGGTGGACTAAAAATGCACTCCCAAAACTAAGCTATCAAGATTTAGGACAGTTTAAGTAGGACATTTCATTTTCACGTCTATGCTTAAAAAGTTATTAACAGGTAAGAAATTATTTATAACTATTCCATAAATATAATTTAGTACCATAAAATCCCCTAAAAATACAAAATATTAAATAAAAAACATTATCGAACTAAAATATAGTACTATGAAAACCGGAGGGGTAGAGGAGCGCTTCCTGGACTTCAACGTTTGATTAATATAGAGGTGCTCTTTGGATGGGAAACGAAATACCAAACATCAAAGAAAGCAGAACTCCAAGGCACTCTCAATTGAAAAAGTTAAAAAGCCTTTATTCTTATGGCTTGGTCAAATTAACCATCTAAAAAACTCCAACGCGTTTCGGCTACATGCCTTCTTCTGGGAGTTTAAAATATAAAATATAGTACATTCATTTGATTTATTTTTGACCGCCACACGAGCAGCACCAGAGGGTTAAAAAGTGCTGCAGGTAGGAGAGAGATGGATAGAGATCTGGGCTTCTAACACAAAGTTCACATGTTTAATAGCAGGTGTGGAGCTTCGGGAACTAAAGAATCATCTAACCGTTCATACCAGCTATATCAACACATTTTATCTTCTATATGCTTTTTGTTATATTATTTGAAACCAATAGTTCCATAATCTTCTATGTATTTATTCTGTGATGTAATATTTGGTTCTTTTATTTGCCTTTTATATATATATATAAGTTTGTTTCATATTTTGACAGTTTGAATTTAATTGTAAAGCAATTTAAGTCGCATAGCATAATATGTGAAAAGATGTATGACTAAAACATTAATTATTGTTATTACTGTGCATGTATTTTATATTCACAGGCGCAGTATTTGTCTGCACGCTGTTATTATCACATAATCTGTATTCATTTAAGAACAAGTAAAAATAACTAGGACAAAAAAGCTAAAGCGCTTGTGGCTGGACTCAATCCAGATGGTCTTTGGGCTGAACTGCATTGTATTTCTAAAGCAACTTTGCCACAAACAATACAAAAACTACACTCCAGCTGTGGCACAGATGACTCGCTAACCTATCATAAGATATAAATGATTCTTGGGTTGAGAGTAGACAAATAAAACAAGAAAAGTGAAAAAATTGATAACTGATTGATTTCAGCAGATTTGACAGTGGACTTTACTTCTAAAGTCATGTAGTACAGTCACTGCGTCCAAAACTGCCTACTGTACAGTGGGGGCTACATTTGCTTTGCGACAGTTTAAAAACTATGCTCTATTTAGTATGAATGTGTGCAGTATAATTGAAATTCGGACGTACGACACCCGTCATGCTTTCACTGTCATGTGACTTACAGCGTCAGTTGTGTCGCTTCACTACTATTCACAACTCCTCTAAGTCGCCTAAAGTGTCCATCAGATGTGCACTTCAAAATCCCGCCGGAAGTAGCAAGTCATCCGACTTTTCACCTGCTATTTTATGAATTTGGACATACTATTCTGACACAGGAATTGGTTCCCAACACTGTTCCTGAAGCCACCTCAAAAGCACATATTTTGAATATCTCTCTCCCTAATCAAACCTGATACAACTCAGCAGCGCATTAGTAGAAATTTCAACGCTTGAAATAGGCATGTCTGACAAGCGAGAAATCCATGACATCGTGGGGAACCTCCAGGAACAGGCTGTGAAATAGTGCTGTTGTAAGTAATTAACAAAGCAGAGTAAGATACCTTAGGTAATATGATATTAACCATGTCTCTGAGGTTCTGTAACGACACTGGATACTACTACTCTGACATTATCACTGACACAACTGTCAAACTTTTTTTTTCATTATAAATTAATACTATTGGTTAAATTGATCACAATTAAACTTTAAATTGTTGTAAAAGATTTATATTTCATTTAAACTTTCTAGTTACCAAATAATCCTGAAATCTCACAAATGTCAGTTTCCACAAAAATATGAAGCAGCACAACTGTTTTCAACACTAATGGTAATAGGAAAAGTGTTTCTTGCGCACTAAATCAGCATATTAGAATGATTTCTTAAGAATCATGTGACACTGAAGACTGGAGTAATGGCTGCTGAATATATTTTCAGCTTTGCCATCACAGTAATAAATTCAATTTTACATTTTTTCTTCTTTTTTTTTCAAATTGTAATACAACTTATTTTACTGTATTTTTGATCAAGTAAACTAAGCCATGGTGAGCATAAGATACTTCTTTCAAAAACAAATTTCCCTTTTGAATGGTAGTGCATTATAAATTCAAATATTTTAAGTCAAAAGGAGGAGAACAGTAGGCGCCGCTATACCAAGAGAGAGTATAGACCTTATTCATATCAGCGCCATCTTTGATTTTTAACAGGAATGAAAGCAAGGCTGTGAGGGATCAGTGGGTTGTCCTGTTATTTCATGTGTTTTTGGATTGTTCTGCTGTCAAAAAGAAATTTAAGCAGATGAAAAAAATGTGATTTAGGAGCTTGTGCAGCTTTTTACAGCAGATGCCATTGAAAACACGGTAAGTCTATCCCTCACAGCCTCGCTTTCATACCTGTCATGGCGATGCTCTGAATAAGGTCTATTAGAGGGTGTTGCACTGGCTGACAGGGCCCACTGTTGCCAGGCAACCAGGCTCCAGGTGAAACACTAGACACAGTGGGAGAGAGAGAAGTTCAAGTAAACTTGAGCTGGAAGAAAGGGAGGGAGATGTTAAACAAATCATGAACGTATAAAAAGATAGCAGATCAAAACCGATCATAAAACCATGTATGAGTAAAATGATTTGTAGTTCACTCTCGAGATATACTGCAGCTGTTTGCATTTGATTTTCAAATGTGCAACTCTTTTGCCTAGATATGAAAACCACAGCTACAAATCACTTATTAGTAGGAACTGTGCCCATGACTCAATAATATGTGATTTCCCGAAGAGCAATTTACCTGATTACAGCTAAAGCTGCTTACAACCACAATGAATTAACAGATATACTTGGAATGGAAAAGGGTAGTTCACAAAAAAAAAAAAAAAAAAAAATTCTGTTATTAATTACTCACACTCATGTTGTTCCAAACCCATACTTTCGTTTGTCTTAAGAATACAAAGTAAGATATTTTTTAATGAAATCTGAGAGATTTATGTCCCTTGATTGACAGCAATGCTACTACAGTACTACCACTTTGATGCTACAAAAAGATCATAAAGTGATTGCAAAACGGTTTAGTCCAAAATTTCTGAAGAGACACAATCACTTTGATGAACAGACTAAATGTAAGCTTTTATTTAGGCCTATATATTCATCAGCTCACATATGAATTATGGTGAATGGAAGTTCAAGCATGTTCACTTGAGTACGAGAACCAAAGAGGTTCATTCTCGTGTCGTGTGTTATGCAGCACGTTTTGTTTGAGCTTCAGCAAGGTTAGGAACGACATGTGGGTGTGAGTAATTAAATTTTTGGGCAAACTAACCTTTAAGTCTGTAAAATTGTGTATGAAGGGTATGCATGAATTCAATACATAATTATGTAAATCAAAATCAATCTAATATTCAAATACTTGAAATGATTTCCCCCCAAGACCTGACAGATGCAATTATGACTGATATCTAACTATTCTCGTATCTTCTTCTGTCCCGTGAGCAGTGCACACACACCTCTTCAAACATCTCTCCAACCTGTTTCTTCCTGGCAACCCGGATGAGGCTGTCCACTAATAATCCTTCAACAGTCAAGAAGAGGATGTGGGAATGAAGAGTGTAACGTTAGCCCGTGGCCGTGAGCATCACACGTTTACGGTGCAACAAATGTTGTCTAGATAGGCAGTTCACTAGTTTTTGGGACAGATCCATTTTTATGCATCAATGACCTTCTTCATATCGTGACCATTAACATTCCTGTCTCGCGTTTTATGGGACACCCTTCACTCGCCAAATAAAACGAAACTCTAAAACCTATTTGCTTTATAACATCGTGTGATATTTATAAAAATAAAGGATTCAGATTGTAAGGACAAGCGTAAGAATTATATTTTACAATACACTGTTGAAAATGTGTGAAGCCACATTTTCCGATCCACGGTGATCGTACCTCTTTCTAAACAAGACTTTATTAAATATTACTCACCAACAAGGAAACTGTCGCGATTAAGTGTTTGTTTTGCTCTTTGTAGTTTCGTATGTTGTTATTTCCAAGTTATACTCAAACTTCTGGATAACTTTTCCCCCATCACAACTCCCAAGGCGTAAGTTAGTGTTTGCTGCTGTAACATTCAACGTAGACAAACTTGAGAGGCCGAATTTACCGTAAAGCCCCGAGAATGATCTCCAACAAGAATCCATAAGTGAGTGCGTATATGCAGCTACCTTTTACATGCCCGTTCTGGCGCATATAGAAATGTGGTCCGTTTAGAGAAACATTCCATAAATATATTATCTCTATAAGTGTTGTCTGATTTATTAAAACAAATATTCCCCAAGTGTATTTGTCATTAGCGTAAACGTTCCACAACCACACCGTAATTTGCGTAGATGCGACGCGTGCAGCTGCAGCACAGATACGCAGCGTCTTGTTACAGAATATCCTCACAGGCGCTGATGGAGCATCTCTCCTGGTGGAACAGTGGATTTATGAGTAGCCTACTCCAACAACAACAACACACTGATAATATCCACATCAGAGGAGACACTCAGAGAGCTTGGACCACAGGAAGCAAATACACGACAGAAACCTCTCGGTATGGCAGGAAATTAACACCCTCAGTGCACTAGGGCTAGCAACAGCACAGGAAATCGTCATTGTGGAATTAAAAATACCGTTTAAACAGGCTCACTCTTTTCACATGAAACCATTTTACTGTGTGCACTGTAAAAAATCTTTTTCACTTTAACTTGAAAACTGAAATGTAACTGCTGCTGAAGTCAGAGAGTTTACAAAGTTCCTGGCAATATATTCCTCCACTTTTATACAGACATAAACATAATTAAAGCTGCAAGCAGCATTTTAGCGGTGTTCAAGCAGTTAAGGCCTTTAAGGCCGTTAAGCACAAAAGCATCAAAAGACATTAAGTTTTATGTAGCAAGCATGATTTACCATGATATACTACATTTCAGTGTGATTTTTCATGATTTACCATGTTCCAGTATGATTTACCATGAATCTAACATGATTTTCCATAGTTTACCTTGATATACCATGATGATTTACCATGATATAGCACATTCTAGAATAATTTACCAGGATTCTAGCATGATTTACCTTTTTTACTATGATTTACCATGTTTCTGCCGTTATTTACCATGATTTACCACGTTGATAGCAATTATATGAAGCATAAGAACAATTGAAGTGATAAACTCTGACAAAATATGAATGTGTTATAATAGTAATTGTTATATAAGTGATTTTATAGTGTCTATATACATATGAATGCAAAAGCACATGTGAAAAGACTATTAAAAAGAAGAGTGGCCAGCAGAGGGCAGTAGAAGACCACTTATTGGCTCACTTTCATTTTCAACTACTTTGTTTCTCCAGTATTCTCCACTGAAGCAAACCATTTTTTTCATGTTAACTCCATAATGCATGCTTACACACACACACACACACACACACACACACACACACACACACACACACACACACACACACACACACACACACACACACACACACACACACACACACACACACACACACACACACACACACATTTTTGGGATATGTTATTGTGAAAATCTGTTTTAATGGTATATGAGCATTTCACATATTTCTTTGCAATGTAATAATATAAAACTAATTAAAGAAAATGCTTTAAGCATTTGTTTGTTAGCCAATGCTGAAAGCTGATAAAAAAAGATTAAAAATGTCTAATGCTGCTGCTCCATCTAGTGGACAACAGTGCTATTACAGCCTACTTAAACAATAGGCCATGTTTTTCATATAATTTAATCTACACACGCTCATTCTGATGTAGATAGAGACATTTGGAACTTCAGGAGCCAATGTGACTCAATTGTCACTTCAATAGACGATTTTTGACTAAATGTTATTGTAAATGTTAAAATAGTGAATTTATAAAGTCTAAATATTAATTATAGTTGAGTAGTGTGACAAAATGACTTTTTTTAAACAGCAGGGGGCAGTAAAATACCACTTATTGGCTGTTAGCCTTTTTCAAGCTGTTATAGCTGTTCTTGACCTTTTTTAAGAAGCTATGAGCATTTATTGAAAAGATATTGGCTTTCGGTCAAGGCTACATATTGAAGTGACCCTATTATAGTCATCCAAATGAAGAAGTTATACATTTTCCTATAATTATTGTTCTAGAGAGTACAGAGCAATAGATGAATTTTGACAAAATGTGATTGTAAATGTTAAAATAATGATTTAATAAAGTCTAAATATCAATTATATATAAAAATATTAGAGAGTAGTATGATGAAATGACAGCAGGGGGCAGTAAAATACCACTTATTGGCTGTTATAGCCATCCAAGCTGTTATAGCTGTTATGGCCATCCGCTTTACACTCTATTATAGCCATCCAAATGAAGTAATTATACCTTTTCTGATAATTATTGATCTAGAGAGTCCAGATAATTGTACTGCACTGGTTTTAAACATTAAGATATGAAAATTATACGATCATAGATGGAAAAAACCATTTACAGCCAATACAGGCAATTTACCATAGGAAATATATGGTTTTAAAGCTTTTTAACAGTTATAGCGCCACCTATAGTCCGATCTCCATGAAACTTTGCATGCTTCTTCAGCCTGTTATGACACATATGCTCATCAAGTTTTGTGAAGTTCTGAGTTTTCCTTTAGGATTTATAGGCTTTTGGGTGCATTTTGTCACGCCCCTTTTCTAAATAACCCTTTAATACCATGCAAAAAATAAAAAAGTTCAACTTTTTTCGATAATTATTGATCTAGAGAGTCCAGAGAATTTTCCTAGACTGGTATGGTTCCGATCGGGCGACAAACCAGGGACTAGTTTGCAAAAGTAGGTTTTGGACAAAATTGGCCATAACAAATTTTTTTTTGCTCAAATCGAGAATCCGAGATATGCTTCGTGCTTGAACACCTAATAATAAGCGACCTTTTTGAAAGTTATAGCGCCACCTATGGTTCGATCTCCATGAAACTTTCCATGCTTCCTCAGCATGTTAGGACACATATGCTCATCAATTTTGGTGAAGTTCTGACTTTTCCTTTAGGATTTATAGGCTTTTGACTGCATTTTGCCACGAACCATTTCCTAACTGACCCTGTTATAGCCAACCAAAATTTTTTGCTTAATTGCTTGATTCTAGGTCAAACGGTCTAGGAGTTGTGAGCAATTTAGTACTTTTGGTTGCTGTAGCGCCACCTATGGGCCAATAGGGGTCATACTCTGATAGGTTCTCCCCAAACTGAGGCCCTACCACCTGGCCAGGTTTCAAGTCTCTAGGCCTTACGGTTTGGGCTGCATGATGCGTTTTTTTTTTTTTTTTCAAATAGCAATTACAATAGGTTTTCAGCACTTCGTGCTTTGTTTTAGTTTATCTTATGTTAGCAACGCTAGCCACGTTAGTAACACCCATTTGAAACAAGGCTTCATTCAATATTCCACTCACAACAAGACCGATTCCCATACCCACGGGCAGTGATACGGACGCAGTAAGGTATTGTGTTGTTCACTCAGCTGCGCATAATAGCACAGAGTTAATTTAAAAAATATATATTGACCCGCGTTCTGTTTTCTATCATGCGCCGTGCACGTTTGCGATGGCGTAAGATGCAGGCAAACACACCAGGGTTCGGTAGAATGGGCTATATGCACGCATAACTTCCGCGTTTGACTCAAGGATGCTCTTGCGTTTCCGGTTGGGGAGATTTAAAGCGGAGGAAAACCGAGGAAAACGGGATTATGGCAGAGTCTTCAAAATTTACTGTCCTCTCGTCTTTGAAACGAAACTGTAATACGTTTAGATGTAATTTTATATATAGTTATGTTTATTTAATATAATAAACACAGAAGCATAAACAGAATGAGGGGTGTCTGTTTTTGTGACTAACGTTTCTTTAGTATAGCAATAGAGTATAAAAACCAATATAAATTCTCGGTATAGCATTGGACTCTACGATCGGCGGAAGTAATCCAGCATCCTTAGACCTTCACCGGAAATACCGCCGTGCATAGAGCCCATTAAGTTGAGTGTGAAACCAGACCAGCGCTGCGGGGGCGCCGGTGTTGTGCCTAATTTCGACCCCCTGCCAAATGATTACCCCCCTCGTTGAAGTCAGTACCTGATTGCCTAATCCCAACCCCGCCCCTAATCCTACCCCTCCCCCACAACTAATCCTAAACCTACCAATGCTAGGGGGTAATAATTTGGCGGGGGTCGAAATTCGGCACAACACCTGGAACAATCGCGCTCGGACCGCAGCAAACGAGCCCAGTGTGAAAGCACCGTCACCTGCCTCCGCAATTTTTCATATCAAAGCAGTGAAGGCGGGGGAGGGGGAAGGAAGAGGATAGATTAACCAGCAGGGCCCGCACAGACTGGTGTGTGGAGGTGAACAGTGAGCCTTTTGAGACGGGAGACCAAAAATAAATATGCGGTCAATTGTAAAATGACACGTCGACTAAAAAAAATGTCGTCGACTAATTTGCATGGTCGATTATGTCGACTAATCGCTGCAGCACTAGTTGGATCCAGATCCAACTCCTCCCACCTTACATATACCTAAACCTACCCATCTCTGCCCCCTGATCCCTAACCCCACCCCTAATCCTACCCATCTCCACCCCCTTATCCCTAACCCCACCCCTAATCCTACCCATCTCCGCCCCCTGATCCCTAACCCCACCCCTAATCCTACCCATCTCCACCCCCTTATCCCTAACCCCACCCCTAATCCTACCCATCTCCGCCCCCTGATCCCTAACCCCACCCCTAATCCTACCCATCTCCACCCCCTGATCCCTAACCCCACCCCTAATCCTACCCATCTCCGCCCCCTGATCCCTAACCCCACCCCTAATCCTACCCATCTCCACCCCCTTATCCCTAACCCCACCCCTAACCATCTCCGCCCCTTAGATCTGGATCCAACTCCGCCCCCTGGATCTCGTGTACTGCAATGAGGTGCTACTGGTTTGTAGTTCTAACTGAATCCTCGTCCAACGCGCGATGGGTTGTGGGCAATATCAGCCGTTAGAGTGTGCATCGATCTGCACTTCGGATTCTGACCGGATATAGTAGACCATCTGGGTCTCTTTGGAACACTCATTTCAACATACTACAATTTGGGACGTACTAATTCTATTTTCGAATAGTCAAGTCAAGTCAAGTCATCTTCATTTATATAGCGCTTTTAACAATGAATTGTTTCAAAGCAGCTTTACAGAGATAAACATATAATTTAAGGTAACAGATTGTTTTGGCATTATAGCGGTTCTTGAATAATGTTACTTCCAGCTAAAGTTAACTTTGATTGATTCACCTCCGTCGAAATGATC